GCACGAATACCAACTTAATACTGTAGTCAAGGCTCTAAACACACTCAAATCATTGCTTATGACCATCTTTATTTTAAATGGAAATAAATTTAAAAAGCTATTATCTGATTGTCAATAAGAAACTCCACTCCTTCCCCACACCCACCCAATCCCCCCAATAAAAAAATCCTAGTAAAACCATTGCACACAAGTAGAGGTTCAGCCAATATATACCCACATTACATACTCTTCGACCTTCAATTTATTTGTTTGATTTTGACTTGACACAAATTATAAAAAAGTAAAAAGAAGAAATTAATCTTGTAGTCTTGAACATTAGACATGAGATATCGAAGTTACAATTGATATTGGTTTTTTTTCCTATTGATATTCGATATCCATATTAAATCGAGTAAATTTAAGATTCGGGCTGAAAAATCTCACGACTCTTTAACAAAGATGACTCAATACTTAGACGTCTAATTAAAAATAAAAAAGTATTTATTACATTATCACAATCCTTATCGATAGAATTGATATTGTTAATTAATTTATAAGAACATTGATATTATATTGTAGTTGAAATATAGTGCGCATGGAGGTGTCTTTGGGTGTGGTGTACAAAGCTGCTAAAAAACAAAAAAGATAAGTGTCAGAGCTTTTCTGCAAAGTAGTCTCCACAGTCCACACAAGAGTTAAAGTTTCATGGGCCATAATGTAGTGCACACAATTAAATGTTATCACGAAAATTTGTATGTAACTCTAAATATAAGCTATTGTACTTGAAATCTACTGTTGTTAAGTCAGAAATCATGCTCCCAAGCGTGTTGTTATAAATTCTTTTATTAAATAACTAGTAGTAGTTTTTTTTGTTTTTGAAAATTAGTTTTCAAGAGTTGTTTTGGAGAAGCAAGTTTCAACTAAATATGTGTGCTGAAATTATGATGGGAAGTTGACATGTCAAATTTGAGGTTCTAAATTCCAATAGGACCCCATGTTAGAGATGTTTGATGTGTCCTTTGTACTCCTTTAAATAGTAACTGGCCCAAGTATCAACTATATGGGCTGTTTTCAAAATAGTGCCATGTGTTGGGCTAACATTCAAATTCACAGGAAATGAAACAACTATCCTTGGGCCTTACCACTCAATTCCTTCAACTGGCCTATCACAGGGGACCCCCTCAGTGTTCCCTAATAAAAGCGTCTTCGTATTTGTGAGAATTCAAATTCAAGACACCTGGTTAAAAATAGAATAGTACTTATCACCCCACCAAAATTACTCTTGTTGGTATCTTATTAAATCAAGTAGAATGAGACAAAAATAGGCACCATAGTCATAAATCACATATCTTCAAGTTCTTTTTATAAAGATCCACTAGTCAATAATATTGGTAACTAAATATTTTCTAATATATTATTTGCACATTGACACATACGATCACTTCACACCAAGTATGAATCTTTTCTTTAGTGAAATTCAAAATGTTGAAAAAATGCTAGTACTAATCTAATCTAAACTCTAAAGCCAAAATCTTGAAAAAGCTCTATGACTAAATAAGAAATAGTAATAATTGACTCAACATGTAGGAAAATCATGAGGAGGAGGAAGCAAACATTGAGAAGGATGTTGACCACTTTGAACAATCAATCCCATAGCAAGACCCCATGAAGTATGTTCCTCCAAGTGACAATGTATAAACCAAACTCCTGGATTATCAGCTATTACCCTAATTGCAGCCCACCCTCCAACAGGAACACCAACTGTGTTCCTCTCAGGTGGATCAACAACATTATAATTTTTCGTATCGCGATCAACATCATAATTTCCAAATCCCCTGCCCACAATGAAGAAATTATGACCATGTACATGAATTGGATGATTTTCTTGATTCAAAAAGCTCGTGTCTTGAAACACGATCTCTAGTCTCGTGCCATATGGCACGACTAAGATCCTAGTACTAAATTCAGTATTCAGGTTTTCGGATAATGGATCCACCCCTGTGTAGTTAAAAGGATGAGGAGGCCGTTCAGGGAAACTAGACAACATGGTAGTCGATAAGTTCCTGTAGTGACTTTCCAAGATTGAAACTGAAGGCCTAACAAATGACTGATTATTCATTGATGCATAGAATTTCTTGTTTTTAAATCCTTTACATGTCTGATTAACAGGACAATCTTGAAGATTAAGGCTAATTGTAGTAATTACTCTCTTGTCTATTTTCTTAGGCACATTGCAAGGGTATTCAGGGGATCCTAAGCTTTTAAGTTTTTCGGTGAATTTGGTAGCAAATTGAGTATCTTCCATTTGGGGTAAATTGGAAGGCAAAGTGAAGGATTTAACAGGGTTTTTGGTGATTTTTGTGTTTGGGATTTTGTATTTGAGGAAACCAATTGTAGTGGAATTGTCAAATGGGAAGACTGAAGTAAGATAAGGCCTAGCCGCCATGACAAACGTTCCTGTTGAATCAGGGATTTGATTTGCAGTGATTAAGACATTGGTTGTCTGTCCAGGGGTGATCATTATGGCTTTTGTTGTAAAGGGTTTTGTGTAAACAGCATCAATTTCAACTACTGTTAATGTATGATTTGCCACCGCGAAGAAGAGTTCATCGTTTAGTGCTGCATTGATGATCCTAAGCAAGTATGTTTTGCCTATCTCAATTGTCTGAATGAATGTATCTGCAACACAAAAGGCAATGGTGAAGCACACAAACAAAAAGGGGAGACAATTTAGTCTATTGGATATTATGACCCATTACGTGATCATCTGAATCAAATTCATATTGATCCAAGCAAAAGCTTAACTATGAGCATGTTATATCACGACTCATTTATTGTTCTGATCCGTTTTAACCTGTTCAAATTTGACCTGATTCGCTCATTTATCACCTCTAGACACTACTATTTTGAATTTAGGCTTCGGTTTGAGTAATTTTGTTACCTTTATTAGAACAAGGATATGAGGGGCCTGGCAAGCCATTTATGGTATAAGCATCAGAAGAATTAGGACCACTTCCATATAACTTCATGTCATTTTCAATATCTTCAATTTCTCCATTCCACCATTCACCTATTAATCAACATTGTAAACCATGTCAATTTCATTCAATCAATCATGCTAAAAAAAAATGTTAGTACAGTTTATTTCGATAATTAATTGATTAGTACCAAAGATTATGGGGATTTCAGCTTCAACAGAAGCTGAAAATGGATAAGGCCTTGTTCGAGGGTATATAATAAAAGCACCATAGACAGTGGCGCGTTGCCAGGAGAGATGAGCATGCCACCATAAGGTTCCCCTTTGGTTAATAATTGTGAATTTGTAAGTGTAATTTCCTCCGGGAACTATTGGACATTGAGTTATGTATGCTGGTCCATCTGCCCAACCACTTCTTAGCTGCCGTACCCCATGCCTATATATACCAGGTGCAAATTGCATCATCATAACTAATCGACTTCAAGCATAATGTAACATATAAGTTACTCGTTGCTTCCTCTGTTCCATTTTATGTGACATATGCCTCATCAGTAACTTAAAAATTCATTAAAATTATGAATAATTACCAGTGGATAGTAGTGTTCCATGGACTCCGGTTAGTGACTTTAACCTCCACATTATCGCCTTCATGAACGAAAATGGTTGGTCCTGGATACTTGCCATTCACTGTTAGCAATCTTTTCATATGACATAAACGTCTTACGTTCTTTCTTTCTATCTGAAAATAAATAAACAAACACAAATCAGTTAGCTAATTACACTTAAATTAGCTAAAGAGTTTCAAGTAACTTACGTTGTATGAAAAACGCCTAACAATTTGGGAGGATGAAGATAGCTTAACCAAGAAAATTGCTAGGGTTAGTAGTCCAATTACTAATAACTGACCGCGATTACCCATTTGGTTAATTAATTACTAGATTTTGTGTCTTCCTAATTAGTTAAACCTATAAGCCAGTACACTAAAGTATTTATAGATCAAATATAATCATCACAAAAATTATATATATATGTCAGACACATTCAACACGTAGAAAATGACCGTTAAATATTATAAGTTCAAGAGTTGATTGGTTATTCAAAATAATTTAGAAATAGGGGATTTTTTTATAGAATCCGATCGAAACAAAAGACAAAGAACGGACTGCACTTAAAAAATCCATAAATAGCACTAGCTGCTTAATTTTCTGGGCAGCAGGACTTGGCTACTTATAATTAATGACTGATTTTTGATGTTTCCTTTTGCTTTTATATACGCAAATCTATTCAAATAGCATAGTATAAGTTGGTTTTCTGAATTTTATACGGTGTGAATCTGAATTAATATGATAAGTGAACTTTGTATACAAAATTAATTTGTTACAAGAAAGTTAAGAATTGAATTGGTGAGGTATGGCAGATAGTGTGCAAGGAATTTTATTTTTATGTGCTCTTTTATGCTAGGAAAAGATGCTCATACATTGAGAACTTAACTAGTATTTTACCAAAATTGAAAGGGTGGAAATAATATGATTTTCTAATATTTTTACTTGCATAATAGACCAAGTCCAACAATCTACCAAAAAAATAAAAAATAGAACAAAGTCAAATTTCACACTTAAGAGGGATATATATTTTTCTTTTATATCTTTCGTATTCGGTATCTATATTGAAGTCTGACTAATTTAGATTTGCTCTTGTATAAAACCTTATACTCAGATATCAAATCTGAAACCAATAATTAATGAAGTTGCATTACATCCTTTCGGTGTTAAGAAGACTATATCCACTTTGTCGTTTTACTTGGTCCCTTGAATTTTTACTTGCATAATAGACCAAGTCCAAAAATCTACCAATATATATGCTCATTGATTCATGACTAAAGCTTTTTCTGTTTTTTTTTCTACAGGCACTATTATTTCATTTAATTACAAGGCAAATCTACTAAAGTATAAAAAAAATTTCTAATCGTATTTTGGAAAAAAAGAAACTAAAATTATTTTCTTGTCAGTTTAACTTAAATAATAGGATTCGTGGGCTGGGATGGGCCGGCCGAAGTCAGTTCTGTTGTCAGCCCATTTTGGTCTCCGGGGCCCATCAGCTGATTAGTTGATGTGCAACAATTTTCCCGCGAAATCAAATTGGTGTGTTGAACTTGAGAGTTTGAAAATCAACTGTCTTGAACAATGCGCTTCAGAAGATTGCACAGCACCTGTTCGCGTTTACTACTGAATGAACCGGCGAGCCATCTCAAAGCAGAATTGCCACGCACCAAATTAGCTGGCGGTGAACCACCGGCGAAGTCAGCGAAAGTCAGTAGCTCAGATATTGTGCAATGGAACAGGTCTATCACCCAACACATGCGACAAGGAGAATGCGATTCCGCATTGAGCTTATTCAATTCTATGCCAGCAAAGTCCAGTGTATCCTGGAACGCAATGCTTTCTGGGTATTTGTTGAATGGCAAATTGGACCTCGCTCAGAAGCTGTTCGACGAAATGCCTCAGAGAGATTTGGTATCCTGGAACATTATGCTTAGTGGGTATATCAAGAATAAGAATTTTAGGGCAGCTAGGATTTTGTTTGATCAAATGCCTGTTAAAGATGTAGTGTCGTGGAATGCATTGCTTTCCGGGTATGCCCAGAATGGGTACGTTGATGATGCTAGAAGGATCTTTCTCATGATGCCCGTGAAGAATGAGATCTCTTGGAATGGACTTCTCGCTACGTATGTTCAGAATGGGAGGATTGAGGAGGCTAGGAAATTGTTTGAGTCAAAGGATAATTGGTCGTTGGTTTCTTGGAATTGCTTGTTGGGTGGGTATTTGAGAAAGAAGATGCTGGCTGAGGCAAAGGTGCTTTTCGATAAAATGCCTGTCAAGGATCAGGTGTCATGGAACACGATAATTTCTTGTTATGCCCAGAGTGATGATTTCGAGGAAGCGAGGAGGTTATTCGATGAGTCCCCTATTAAGGATGTGTTTACCTGGACTTCATTGCTTTCTGGTTATGTACAGAATAGGATGGTAGATGAAGCTAGGAGGATCTTCGATGAGATGCCAGAGAAGAATGAGGTTTCTTGGAATGCAATGATTGCAGGATATGTTCAGTCTAAAAGGATGGACTTGGCGAGGGAATTCTTTGAGGCAATGCCTTGTAAAAACATCAGCTCTTGGAATACAATGATAACAGGTTATGCTCAAATTGGGGATATAACTCATGCCAGAAGTTTGTTTGATTGTATGCCTAACCGTGATTGCATCTCTTGGGCAGCAATTATTGCTGGGTATGCTCAAAGTGGCAACAGTGAGGAAGCATTACTCATGTTTGTTCAAATGAAGAGAGATGGTGGGAGGATAAATAGGTCGGCATTTACTTGTGTTTTGAGTACATCTGCTGACATTGCTGCATTCGAGTTTGGAAAGCAAATACATGGACGACTTGTCAAGGCTGGATATCACACTGGGTGTTATGTCGGAAATGCACTCCTATCAATGTACTGTAAGTGTGGAAGTATTGATGAGGCATATGATGTGTTCGAGGAGATAGCGGAGAAGGATGCTGTCTCTTGGAACACAATGATCATCGGTTATGCAAGGCATGGATTTGGCAAACAAGCTCTTAGACAATTCGAATCAATGAAAGAAGTGGGTATCAGGCCGGATGATGTCACCATGGTAATTGTTGATACATTTTATATTCTAAAGTATTATTTCGAGGGTACTGTAAAACTGTTTTTGCACTATTCAATCTGTTTAGAACTACTTAATCCCGAATTGCTTAATGCAATTGTATGTAAAGATTGCTCCCATGTGTTGTGGGTTGCCTCAGCCACTGAGTTATACACATCATCTGATATAGGGTTTTGTCTTAATCTTTGTACAGTTGTTAAGGTTTCAGTTTTTGTGCTTTTTTTACAGGTTGGTGTATTATCTGCTTGTGGCCATACCGGCTTGATTGACAAAGGCATGGAACACTTTTACTCAATGGCTCGAGATTATGGAATAGTTACAAATCCCAGGCATTATACTTGCATGATTGACCTTTTGGGTCGAGCTGGGCGACTGGATGATGCTCAAAATCTAATGAAGGATATGCCTTGTGAACCAGATGCTGCAACCTGGGGTGCTCTCCTTGGGGCAAGTAGGATTCACGGAAACACTGAATTAGGAGAAAAGGCCGCTGAAATGATTTTCAGATTAGAGCCTTGGAATGCCGGGATGTATGTCCTTCTCTCAAATTTATATGCAGCCTCTGGCAGATGGCGTGACGTTAGCAAGATGAGATTAAAAATGAGGGACACAGGAGTAAGGAAAATGCCTGGTTACAGCTGGGTTGAGGTGCAAAATCAGATACATCTTTTTTCAGTTGGGGATACAATGCATCCAGACAGCAAGAGAATATATGCTTTCTTGGAAGAGTTAGAATTATTAATGAAGCAGGAAGGTTATGTCTCTGCCACGAAATTGGTCCTGCATGATGTAGATGAGGAGGAGAAGGCACACATGCTCAAGTATCACAGCGAAAAATTAGCCGTTGCCTTTGCAATTCTAAATATACCATCTGGGAGAGCAATTCGTGTGATGAAAAATTTAAGGGTTTGTGGAGATTGTCATACTGCAATCAAACTCATATCGAAGATTGTGGGTAGATTAATTATTGTTCGGGATAGTAACCGTTTTCATCACTTCAGTGAAGGTGTTTGTACCTGTGGAGACTATTGGTAGTACTAGATAGTAGAGTGTGAAAGTATACCAATTATATTTTAGCCGCTGTATACTTAGCTATTGTGCTGGTCATCTCCATAAGTGTTGAGGATTTACTGTAGTTATTGCACACATGGAAGCAAAGCACAGAAGAGGGATAAGTGGATAATCCCTTTCTTGTTGTTTGGTGAATTTGGTGCGTATAATCTGTGATCTCCTCGTTGATTTTGGTAAAAAGGAGATTGCTGAGATGTATCGCCCATAATTGTTGCACTTACGCACCATATAACAAAAGGAAGAGAAATAGTTTCCTTAAGTTTCTCAGAGATCTGATAATCAGAATAGAGTGACGTGAATTTGTAGGAGGGGTTTAGCAGTTGTGCCTCTAAAATAAATTAATTATCACTTCAGGAGTACTTTGGTCCTCTGTTCTCTGGCGAGAGATTCTTGATTGGCTCCTTCTACCTGTCTGGCCCAAACGCATGACAGTGACTGTTTGTCAGGTATCATAAATCTGCTCTACCCTAAGCTCGCTGACTGATTTCCTGCTTCTTTGAGCCTCACTAGCTAAGCGGTAATGATACTATTGTGGCCCAGCATTTACACATAGTGGAACTCTCCTCAAAATCTGCTATCTAAGATTATCCTGTCCCTAAGTTAACCTCATATGCGGCCACGAGAAAAATCATACTTTTCTTGATATGGTGAAGAGCACATGTATTGGATGACTATACAATCACCAAACTTACTTGTAGGTGGTACTGGTATCCTTCTGAGTTTTGAGAGCAAAAGGTAAGAAAATTTATTTCATCCTTGATTCATCTTCCTATGATCAATAGTTTGTGTGAGATTCACTTAAGATATTTATTGTTAATCTGTTCAAAGCAGTGATAGCGTAGCACAGTCTCTGTAATTTGTAGTTTCTGTGTTCCTAAACTAGTTACATTCCGTTTCAGGAAGAAAGGAGTTATACTTTGAAGTTCAAACACACTGAACAGAATGGTCGAAAGCCATCTTGCCTGAAGGTAAAAAATACTTAATTGCTAACCAGTTACCTATTTAAGGGAATACTATCCTCTCACAAGCATGGAATGCGTCATATACTATAACAGAATCCTTAAGTTACCAAGTTTCAAAAAAAAAACTATAACAGAATCCTTGGAAGGAGAGAAGTGTTGCATTTTGGGGTGTGTTGCTTATGGAGGAAAACATATGTTTTTCAATTTTTCCATGTTTGGTCAGTCAAAATGTATTGGAAATATTTTCTGTAGAAAAACAAGTTACTTAAAATTAGGAAAACTGATTTCTCCAATGGAAGTATGGAAAACAAGTTCCATTGGTGGCATACCATGTTGATTGTCTCCTCCGCACCCCCAACACCCCATCACTACACTACCACAGACCTCCCTCCCCTAACTCTCCACCACCAACCCCCGTCCCCTCTGACCCTCACTCCACTGCATCCGCCATAGTGTTTGCCTAAATTATACATAAAATGCTTGGATATTTTCTGCTCACTTGCGAAACACCAAAAATAAGAAAGAAAACACTTATTTCTAGCAAAATATTTTCTCTTCATAGCGGACACCCTTAACCTTTCTGTCAGCCGAGTGTTTGTGCAAGTACTTCCTGTGGAACAGTGTGGCTGGCTTACTGAATTATATCTCCTAGAGAATTTAAGAAGATCGTTCATTCAAACAGATCTTTACAAAGAGTAAACAATAAAGTTATATGTTGTGTATATGTTGCAGTTTGTCTGACAGTTTCTGTTTAGATGACGTGAAGGGTACAAATAAGACCAAAGAAAGAGATTCTCTTTAGTGTCAGCGTATTTGTTTTTAAATGATGGGATGGTCTTTTAATTTTCATTAGTCTTTAACTTGGTGAAAAATCTTTAGTTTTCTTCTTAAGTTGATCCGTAGACAATGATGTGTCCTAGATCTTGGTCTTTTACATTAGATGTTACAAATGAAATACAAATGAGCTGATTCTACCAATATAAGATCAGGACAAAAGTAATACTCTAGTGAACAAGGCAAATGAACAAAAAACTAATGTAGTGAGCTAATGAAAAAATACATCTGCGGTTAGCAAGGTTTTGATTAATCACATATACGAGACTCATATTTTTCTTTTGATTTATTCTGGTCCAACATGTGAGGAACTGAAGTTGGCAAGTCATAGATAAAATGATCTAATGAGACGTTCCTTTCTTATTACAGAATAATTTCTTTCATTTGCCTTAAATAATTTTTTGTTGAGTTAATAGAAGTCGTGCAGTTTCAGTACTTGATTTGAGGAAAATTACTGATGGTTTTTTGAGGTACCACACTTATTTAGTAAATCACTAACCCGGTTTGAGAATCAATTATAATTAGATTGGAGATATAATACTGGTTTAGTGAAATTAATCCAGATATTTGTGTGTACTGTAAAGAGGATATTCTTAGGTACTGTACACATACATGAATCTCCAACTTCGTAATAGATTGGTTTTCAAGCTTAGATTGATATCTAATAAGTTTTGCACTTGCAGCAAAGCCCATACCTGCAGTTACTGAGTTTGTTGCACAGTTACAGATCTTGGAGCTGTTGGACAATGTACGGGTCAAACGTAAACCTAGCTTTTCATTCACTCTAATTAGCTTCAGAATTGCGTAAGTGCATTCATACATCAGTGATTAAATAAACATTGTGTGCTCTCTCAGGCTATTTTTACTGCTGGCTACAAGGCTGTGTTGCACATTCATGCTATTGTTGAGGAATGCGAGATTGTTGAACTGCTGCAGCAGATTGATCTCAAGAAAAAGAAACCCATGAAGAAAAAACCTTTGTTTGTAAAGAACGGAGCAATCGGTCTATGTAGTGTTCAGGTTAGTTGTCTACTTGAGTAGGATGAAACCTGTCACTTTAGTATCTCTACAATTGTAATTTACGTTTATTTTCACTAGCTTTAAATATTTATGCTTTCCAAAATATGTGCCTAGCCTCAACTGTAAAGATAAAATCGGTAATGCTTTACATATGGGATAATACTAACCCCTTTTCCTCTTTCATTTCTGCCTTTCCCTTCTGTTGTATAGTGTGCTAGGTCTTGATCTTCTGAAATAATCATGCCAGGTGAATAATCTGATTTGTATCGAGAAGTTCTCTAATTTTCCACAACTTGGGCGGTTCACTCTTCGCAGTGAAGGTAAAGAACCATTTTGCCTAGTGAGCTTGTCATGCTTTAATTTATACACTACCTTGTTGTTTGGTGAATTTGACGTGTATAATCTGTGATCTCCTCATTGATCTTGGTAAAAAGGAGATATGCTGAGATATATCTCCCATAATTATTGCACTTACGCACCATATAACCAAAGGAAGGGAAATAGTTACCTTAAGTTTCTCAGAGATCTGATAATCAGAATGGAGTGACGTGAATTTGTAGGTGGGATTTAGCGGTTGTGCCTCTAAAATAAATCAATTATCACTTCAGGAGTATTTCAGTCCTCTGTTCTCTGGCGAGAAATTCTCGATTGGCTCCTTCTACCTGTCTGGCCCAAACGCATGACAGTGACTGTTTGTCGGGTATCATAAATCTGCTCTACTCTAAGCTTGCTGACTGATTTCCTACTTCTTTGAGCCCCACTAGCTAAGCGGTAATGATACTATTGTGGCCCAGCATTTACACATAGTGGAACTCTCCTCAAAACCTGCTATCTAAGATTATCCTGGCCCTAAGTTAATCCTCATCCGCGGCCACGATGAGGATCACTGTAAACGAAAGAACATATTACTTTCTCCCTGTGTTTGAAGTGTTATGTTTTCATACACTATAATACTATACTCGATCCAAATTGTATTTATAGCTCAAATGAAAATTAGTTGCAGTAAAGGAAAATCAACTGTTTGCTCATTTTGTTGCTGATAACACTATTATAGAGGATTAGTTTTTCAGAGATAAAACTCCCACAAGACAAAAATACTACTGTTAAGCTTTTATATCGTTCAGAGTATCCAGATATTCCCAAAAAAGACCATATACACAGTGATTTTAAATCATGTACTATAATCTATGTATAACTTTGTCCGCGAACCAAACAACCCCTAACTTTATACGTGAAAAGGGGTACAGACTATAGAGGGGAGAGAGATGGAAAGACAGACAGACAGACAGACTAGACTCATCAAGATACCATAGGTAAATGAAGTGTATGGTACATAAAACTGGCCGCGCTAGGATATTTGAATGTTAACAGCATTTATTGTTAATCTGTTCAAAGCAGTGATAGCACAGTCTCTGTAATTTGTAGTTTCTGTGTTCCTAAACTAGTTACATTTCGTTTCAGGAAGAAAGGAGTTATACTTTGAAGTTCAAACACACTGGAAAGCCACCTTGCCTGAAGGTAAAAAAATACTTTTATCAGTTGTGGATCCGATTGGACAACTTTGGGTACGGATGTGAACATGTCTGCTCAAGCCACTTTATCATTCCATTCAGAGGAGTAATAATTTATCCCTGACATAGCTAGGTGGGATAGTAGTAGTCAAGTGGATGAAGGGTATACCAACTCTATAATATAACAAGAGATAATCAACATGTATTTGTCTACTTCTGGGATCACCACTCAGCCCATCAATCTCCCTTGATAATTTTTGCTGGTAGTGGTTTTCCAGGTTTTCAATACAATTCAGAAATAAATAACTATCTCATGAGTCTAACAGTCACCAAGTATATTCTACCTAGATCTTAAGACAGACATAAAGTTCAAATATCAATTGCCAAATCTTCTCATTTTGTTCCTTTCCCAGTTTTTGGTTTCGGTTTTACGCTTTGGTCCACTTCCAGAGCTACCAACTATGCCATCAGTGTTGAAGCAAGCAACTGCTCTCTGTAAATAAAAATATTTTATAAATGAGCACTCCTCCCCTGAACATTTGCTTCATGATCTATAAGGCTAGATCAAACTGTATATATATTGCAAACAGCAAGGTATGTGTTTTACCTTAATGCTTGCTTTTTGACCTTGTAAATTGCCTATTCAAAACAACATGAGATGTGACTCAACATGTATAACTTTCAAGAAAAAGAAGTCAATTATAGTCGGAATTTTCTCACCAGAGCATTTAGGCAACATTTTCTCACTAGAGCCAGTATCCATTCTGGTTTGCATACTAGGATAAGACTTATTTTTGGACATGATGATCTCATAAAGCATTCCTGCATCAGTTTCTTCAATATCTTTATGGTGTTAGAGTTCTTTTGCACATAATATACCTTTAAGCATTGAGAGAGAGAAAAACCAGTGATTCAACATACCCAAGAGTGATTCAATCGCGGCTTGAGCAGCTACTTGCTTTGCCATTTGCTTGCTCCCAGCTAACTCACCTTTGTAAGTTTTGCCTCCCAACACCAAGTGACAAATATAAACTGAGCTTGGCCCTTCTGTATATCTAGTGTTATATATAGGCCTATCCAGATTCCTCTTGACAGCAAATTCATAGAGAATGGATTTGCACAACATGGGTTCCTACAACACACAAAAACAAAAGTTCAAATAAGTATTTTGAGCAAACGAACATCTAGCTATTTAGGAAGAAGCAACAAGTGAATATCACCTTGTAAATAAGTGAAATATCTCTAGCATCAATTTTGTTGTGAATGCATTCATAAGCTATTTTTGCTACTGCCTGCTCTGCTTCTTTCTTCGTGGGATATGTTGACTTGGATTGATATTCAGATCCATCAACCAAAACCTTTGCTCTGAACTTTGGGGCATGTGGAAAACCTTCATTAACTGTTTGATAAATTGGAAGTTGTTTGACATTTTTTGTGTGTACTCTTGCAGTTGATTCTTGTACATTACTTGTGCCGGAGGAACTGCAAATAAATTATACCATAAATAATATTAGTTGAAAGCATCAAAATACATTAAAACATGAATTAATCAAGAAAATAATGGTGAGTGAGAAGGTTGAAATGAGAGATGCATACTGGAAGTAAATTTGGGGAACTCCATATTTGCTGAAGATGCAATTCTTTGAGAAACTAAAAATGGAGTTTTGAAGAGTATTTGCCCTTTATCATGGCTTTGTACCACACTTACTTTGCATGAGAACTGTGAAGGACAATCATTTTGTACAATAACACTACTTTTTTTCTTTTTTCCTTATTTTTTGAGAAACTAAAAATGGACTTTTGAAGAGTATTAGCCCTTTATCATGGCTTTGTACAACACTTACTTTGCATGAGAACTGTGAAGGAGAATCATTGTACAATTACACTAATTTTTTTATTTTTTTCCTTAATGTACATATAATAGCAGGTAAATGTTTTATTTGCAAAACTACATATTCCATATTTTAAAGAATTTTATCTACAAATATAATTTGAATGATCAGATAGTATAAAAAATATTTATATTGATGGTGTGCAAAAAAAAATCAATGAATAAATGTGCTTTACGCCCGCAAGGGCAGATTGAATGGTAGAGAAGTGGATCTCCCATGTGGGAGACCTTGGATATCCATCCTTGTCGATGGGCTTGTAGTTTGTATCTCATTTGTAGTTTGCGAGTTGTTACATAGTAATTAGGTTTACCACAAAGTACTCACTAAAGAGTGCTCATCCGAAGAGTAGATGTTGTTGGTTTACTTGAGAGTTTCAAAAAAAAAAAGTGTTTTATTATAATGGCAAGTTCTAAAATGGAATCAGCTTCCTTTTGCATTTTTTCCCCATTTCGCAGCCGTAATTGTACACTTGTACTCCTATTTTAGAAAAAAGAGTACAATATTTGAGCATTTGATCGTCACAATATCCAAAATACACCAATAGTTCAAACGCAATATATTTTTTTAATTAAAGGGAAGGTTAAATGTATATCGTCATATATCACAAAAATTAAAATAAATTATTACAAATAATTGTGAAACTAAAATTATTATCCTTAAATAATTCACTAAAGAGGAATATAAAATAAATAAGATTAGAATAACACTTTTGGTTAAAGGAAGAGTGTCGTGCAGCGTCGTGCTTACAATATCTTTTTCCCTATTTTATAATTAAGAAGAGTGTTGAACATGCAAAGACGATGACGACAACAATGACAACAAGTAAACAACTCGCCTAGTGATATCTCACTTAATGGGTAGAGTACTCTGAACATACCTTATCACTATCTCGTGAAGATAGAGATGTTGTTTTCGAAAAACACTTGACTCGAATGTATCAAATCCAAACATAAAAGAAGAAAACAATATAGAAAAGTTATTAGCAGTATATAAAAAATACTATAACATCCAATTCAAACAAAACTGAGTCAAATCTTGCAAAGTGAATTCATGATCCCACGAAACTTGACAAGTATCATGTATATTTCTATCAAGATATTAAGACACACTTAAATTCCAAGTATCAGTTGTCAAATCTTCTCTTTTTGTTCCTTCCTTCGTTGTTGGTGTTGGCGTTACGCTTCTGTCCACTTGAACTTTCAAATAGGCTCTTAGTTGGAATTTGTCTCATCTTCACTATTTTACTTATGACTTGAATTATTTATAATAATATGTTGTTGTTATAGTAGTAGTATGGTATGTGCATGGGTGGGAATGTGGAATGGGGCAATGAAAATTAGGTGTAATGGGAGTCAACATATTATATATATACACATAAATTAAAAACTTATTTTCTTGCTTAATTCATGTTATTAATGCTTTTTTTGTGTATTGAGTCAATTATTATTGTATAATCAATTTAGTTTCAATTGCTACGATATGCAAAAATCAATTACAAGAGTACACACAAAAAGTTGGGAAAAGGCTCCCAATTTACCAATCTTTTAATGAGTGTTTTGAAAACTTCCCAAAGTATAGAGCTAAAGTATTGGTGGATGGTGTTGAATACAAATCCAAGTTGACACAGTCAACAAAAAATCAAGATGAGCAAAAAGTTGCAAAAGTTGCTTGTGAATCAATTATTCATCAAGAAATTAAAGTTGACACTTTTTCAGTTTCTTTACGAGGTAATCACTTTACACTTTTTGCACCTTTCGAATAGTGCGCTAAAGATTCATTTTTGCTCAAAAGTTTACTATTTTTTTGTGTGTTTTTTTAAAGGACCCTACGTTGTGCAAAAGTTTACTATTGGATCAATGCTTTTGACACTGATGTTTTTACAATCAACAAATTACCCATTTCACAATTGAATAATTCATCTCCTTTTAATATTTTGTTCAAAACAGGTCTAGATTATTCATGTTTGCGAATTTTTGGTTGTCTTTGCTTTTCATGGATTCGTCCTTACACAAAAGATAAGTAATCTCCTCGCTCTAAAGCTTGTGTTTTTTTTTTGTTACAACAAGATTCATAAGGGTTATACGTATTTTGATCCTCTCACGTCTAAATAGTTCTGGTTGCATTAGCTCTCTGATAGCTAAGTTGCAATCACAATTTGTAGTCAAAGATCCAGGAAAATTTTCATATTTTTTGGGCATTGAAGCAACCTGGACACCCCGCGGCTTGCATTTGTGCCAGTAGAAGTACGTCTCGAACTTACTTAAACGCGCTCAAATGAAGCCCCGCAGCTCGGTGGCTACTCCAGCTTCATCTTCAAGCAAATTAACCTCCTCCTATGGTTAACCCTTTCATGATCGGACCTTGTTTCGAAGTATTATAACATCGCCTATTTAGTTAACAAAGTATCACTGTTCATACATTTACCATTGGATTCTTACTTGATGGTAGTGAAATGAATACTTCGATATATCAAAGTCACTATTTCACATGATGTTTTCTTTACCAGGCAATGCTCACTGATTTTACATGGTTATAGCGATGCTGATTGGAGTGGTTCTCTTGATGATCGCAAATCCACTATTTGGTTTTGCCATCTATCTTGATTTTAATTTGATTTCTTGGGCATCTAAAGGCAAAAGGTTGTGTCTCGCTCGAGTACTGAATTGGAGTATAAAACACTTGCATGTGCTACATTTGAAATCACGTGGCTGGAAATATTCCTTAAAGAGATGGGAAAAGGGTCAAAAATACCCTTCAACTTTAGTTTATTAGTTGACGATACCCCTACTGTTAAAGCAAAGTTATTTATACCCTCGCCGTTATTAATTTCACGATTTATACCCCTCAATTGACAGAAATCCCCAAATCAAACAAAATTGACCCGATTTCTTAAAAAGTGACCCATTCCCCATTTTAAACCCATGCCCGACCTATCTATCCATCTTAAACCCAAAATAATTTAACCCATTTTCTATACCCATTCTCAAAAAAAAAAAATCATTTGGAGTTGCTGTCATGATAATTCTCCAATTGTGTTTCCCCAATTCATTCATTCATTTGAACTTTATTTTTTCTTTATCAACAATGCAGCAACCAAGAAATACTAGAAAATAAAACGAAAACAACCAGGCAATAAATTTTATCAGAAAAAATAAAATTTTGCCGGAGCAATAATTTTGTTGATTGAATTTAACATTAACGGGGAAGAGAGGGAGATATGGCGTGACTTCAAAGACATTGTCGAGCAGCACCTAAAACACAAAAATCGATCAGATCTGAGCACTTTAGACGAGTATGATGGCTCTATTACTAGAGGAAAGAGAAAAAGGAGAGCGGCATCATGGTCAACCATGACTGTTCCGAAGCTAACCATTGTCGCCGAAGCTCGAAGCAGATAATTGGAGAGAATCAAAGACATGGATTTTACCCAAATAATTACAACAAAAAAAATTAAACCTAAAAGAAGATTCACAACCCCCACCCCCTGTATTGTCTTCCCTAAAGACCCTACCCATTTGCAGAAACATCTGCACACCCCATCCTCCCCTCTAATTTTCTTCTCCAAACTCTCCGATTCCGTTTAGTGCACACACTATTTCTTTTTCCATCATTTTAGTGTAAGTATCTTTATTCACTATTGTAAGAATTTAACTTTGCAAGGAAATTGGTGAGGTAGGTATATGTGCTTCTCACAAAGATGACTGCTTTTTGCAGTCATGAGAAGAGGCAGTGATGTTTTGCTGGAATTTGAAGAAAAAGAATTAAAAGGAAGAATAAAAAAGTTTGTAGAAATGGTGGCTAAAGGGTAAGGAAAATGGGTTAAATTATTTTGGATTTAAGATAGATTGATGGGTTGGGCATGGGTTTAAAATGGGGTATGGGTAATTTTTTTAGAAATCGGGTCAATTTTGTTTGATTTGGGAATTTTCGTCAATTGAGGGGTATAAATGGTGAAATTAGTAACAGCGAGGGTATAAATAACTTTGTTTTAACGGTAGGGGTATAGTCAACTAATAAACTAAAGTTGAGGGGTATTTTTGACCCTTTTCCCTAAAGAGATTGGTAGCTACTTGCTTCGCCCGCACCTAGTCTTTGGTGTGACAACCTTAGTGCCACCTATTTGACTATGCATCACAAAAAAAAATCAATATGTTTTGGTCAATTTATCTATGTATCACAAAAAAAAAATCATATTTTAAAATAAATGATTTCAATTTTGAGCTTCAAATTCTATAACCAACACCTACTAATTTGGATTATGTGATTTGGTGTCGTTTGCAATTCATTCTCATATTTAATAGAGTCAACAAATAATTCATTTTATCAGATTCAATTAATTTTGCATTTGAGTCTCATTTAATTGTTAGATACATCAATTTATTAAGTTCATTTATTTTTCCAAAGTATTATCTATCTTTTTTCTCTCATTTTTGAATTGATGCAATCAATTATATCTATGTATCAAACAAAATTCTTTTTGTATATATCAAAAAGAATAATACATTTATTATCAAACTGTATTGTCTTTGATTGACATCTGTTGATATGATCAATTTATTTATGTATCACAAAAAAAGTTTTATTTTTATGTCAAAAAAATGCTATAACTATCTCTAGACTCTTCTATTAATTAAAAAATAATGATATAACTATTACCAGAAAAAAATAATGTGTATTATTTTATATGATATTCAAACACTATATCAATGTGTTTTTCATTTGAGTATCACAAAAAAAAGTATGTATATATCACTGTATTTCTTTAAGGATGATACAATGTGTATTTGTATATGTCTATTTAAGTTTCAAAGCTAATATGTGTAATTATGTGCGAGATTGTGAGAG